TTTCCTATCTTTTCTTATTTAAGGTGTATGCTCAATATGTTTTTATCATCAATAAAGAAAATCTTCTTCTTTTCTCCCTCTATACTTCGCAACATCTACATATGATTAATACAAGTTTTACATGTTATGCCCAGATTTCCATGCATAATGTTGTCATACCAATTCAAATTTGTTATTTCCTTGTCATGGATGGTTGAGCTCAGAAAAGTTTTGCTCCTACTGAGTTAATTGTTGCAATATAAATTGAATTAGGAAATTCAATGAAGCTCTGCTTAAGATATTGAATATCCTGAACTTTTTTATGACAAAGTACCAAGGGTATGGGTATTTGATAAATGAAATATTGTTCGTGGGCACAAAGTTTGAAACTCATGTTACCCAACCTCAAAAGTACCATATGAAGTCATAGAAGCTGTCTGGAGAATATGAGCTATATTATATGGGCAGTGGTCCTCAAACCATGTAATAAGTGGATCACATATGAAATAGTACTATTCAACCATTTTAGAAGCAACCAAACAAAGGGTAACAATATATTTAATAAGATTGATAGAATAATCAAGCCTACAAAAGAAATGCATATAAAAAAAACTAAACTGCAAAACATGGACACAAAATAAATAGTTCATGAGCTTACCTAGGCTTAAAGAAATTAAGAAACAAAGTCTGAAATGAAGCCCACTCAACCAATATATTGGTCTTAAGAGTCTCAGCAGAATCCTTTTGGGCACAGACATCCTTTAGTTTCACACCTTGAGCTTGGCACTTCACTATAAGTTGTTGACTAGCGGAAGCCTTGGCTGAAATGGTAGCCTGAAGAGATTTGAGATCTGAAGTGGCTTCACTATGATTCTTAGATATTTCAAGTAAACGTCTTTGGAGAACAGAAATCTGTGATTGTATCACATTCATTTTGGCTTCATACTTAAAAATCTCAGCCTGCTTCTTTGAAACCTCCTCAGAGAGAGTACACAACTCAACCTTACTGTTCTTCAAAATGTTGGTATTTTCTTGGTACCGTTCCAGGAACTCATTAGCAGACTGGATAATAGTATTTGCTTTCTCAAAGTTCTTACCCATTTGGCCAATTTCAGACAACCTCTGTAGAGCCACCAACTGGTTTGGCAACAAACTTTTGTTGTTTTTTAATTGCTCTAAAGTTTTGATTAGTTCCTGCATCTGACTAGGGTGTGTCACAGCAGTAAAGTCCATAGCAAGGAGACGACAAAGTGAAGCCTTGGCCCGATCAAATTCAAAATTCTTAGCTATAGGAACAGAAGATGGTGAAGTATCCAAACTGGTTGGTGCAAATTCAGATGCAATAAGAGAATCAATAGTATCGAAAAGATCCGACATTGCAGCCATGTCAATAGTAGGCATAACCAATAGAACAGAATCCCTTGGAGGGGCATACATAGGAGAAGCTTGGAGAGTGCTCTGTGCACAGGAGCTGGGGGAATCGGTAACTGATTGATCAACCATTGTAGAAGGTCTAGAGAGTGAGTCGTGAGGATCTGGAGCATTATTCTCAGACCAGTTAGAATCAGCAGTGCTTTGGGATGGTGGAGTGAACATGTGTTTAGGACAATGCATTGAAGGGGGTGATTCATCCAACTCAGAATCAATGATATCCACTGTTGCACCAGGGGATTTGGTCTTCATGAAAGTAGCAGAACGAGTGACTGGCCTATGCCAGTTTGCTGTAGGTTTAGGTTTTGAAGTTGGCTTTTTGGTCCACTTACGATGATACTTTTTTCCTGTCACTGGGACAGAGGTAGAAGTATTGTATGAATACAAAACAAAGAAGAAATAAAAGAAATGCAACAATATGAAACATGGATACCTGGATTTTGTATTACTCGGGATTTTGGGCCTTCCATTTATGGCTTCAAAAGGATCAATAATTTGCTTGCACTTGACCACAACCCAAGGATAAAAAACTAGTTTGTGCAACTAATTGCTGTTTTGTTTCTTTCCGATCAAAACTACCCAGTCCCCCTGTGACTAACTATTTCAAGATATACTTGAATACTGTTGCAAAAGTATTACAATAGTTAGATCATGATTACAAAATTAAAACAATTGAATATAAAAGGTAAATTAATAGCATATATAGGAAAATGAGAATGACTTTAGGATATGCAAACGAGTAACTGAACACTATATAAAGATTACATAGTAGAAGACATCACAGAACAACAATAGGAATAAATTAACAGCTCCTAATACGAATAACAAGGAAAATTTTAAATACCATTCTGGCTTCTCCACAAAAAAAAAAAAATCAAAATCCATCAATCTGCTCAGATAATAGGGTAGGCCCCATACACAATCCACACTATTAACTCCCCCCTACGCCAACAAGTCAGCATGAGAATGGATTGACTAACCCACCTGAACAAGGAAGTCATATTTGAAGCTAGAGATCATGTTTCCCTAATCACGTATCACAGAGCCCAGGGATAACCTTCTTCATTCATCACCCAACCTAAATAACAGCTTGAGAATCCCACTTCCACAGTTCCACCTATAAGGCTGCTATAACAACAAACCCAGACCAATTCAAAACTGACTTAGACTCAGGAAAAGAGATGAAGTGATTTATTTGATCCTCCTTCCAACTTGGAGGTGCAATCTTGTTGTTCAAAACAAACTATCATCTTATTGGGCAGGAATTTGCTGTCCCAATGTGCAGAGTAAAACATGCAAATATTGAATATACTTGTTAGGAGATGGAGAAATTTGGGCATGCAGAAAGTAAAAACAGATGAATATGAAAAAGAAATGTCCCTGATACTGGTAGCAAACTGTTTTGTGTAAAACACAGATAACTTAAAGAACCTCCACTCATGTTAAGTTCTTCTCAAGAATGGATTCAAAACTGTTTTGATGGGAAAGCAAGGTGACTGGTTGATCGGTTAGTGAGTGCGCAAAGCTAGGTGTCAAGTCAAGTTTATGTATGAAAACCCAGACTATCATCAACTAATTCTATTTGCGTTTCCCAAGCCAAGGTCTGCCGATTCACAAAAACAACTAACAAACTACATAGAATACGTTTTAGGAAAAATTATGAGTTGGGTTTCCCAAACTCATAGTTTCGCACACAACAGTAAACGATTCAAATAGAAATTGCATGAATGCCACAGTATACAGTAGATAATCTATAAAGCAAAGATAGAAATGCCATTGGCAGGTAATAACAATTGAAAATGTCGATGTCCACCCCTAAAGGGCAAGCATCATGGCATGGAATGACTGGAAAATAATAAATACAAAATGGAGATAAAACTGCAAGAGAGAGAGAGAAAATAAGATATAAATATCTTTAAAAAGAATCCCATCCCAGTCCAAATGAGTAACCTCACGAAAATGCTCAGTCTCACTAGCGGTTGCCATCAAAGAGATCGCAAACCAAAAAATGAACCCACGAACGTCTAAAAATCCAAACCCTGACCTTCATTGTGGGAATAAAAATGAAACCCTAAACCCACCAACTACAATACGGTCTTGTAACAGATGTCCAGAGGGTGTGGAGTGTGCAGAGGATTTTCATACCGTTGAATATATACCTATAATATAATATTATTATTTTTCCTTTACCCGCCAAAGAAGCGGGATGGTGGGCTGTCCGACTTCAACGATTCAACGATAAGACGGCACATCAAAGACTCCCGTCTCTGGTTCTGGGTCAGTGAGTTCTTCACCTGACACAAATATTTACCGTATCCGTATCCGTCGGGTGCTTGTACTGGCACTCTGGCAGTTTCTCATTTCATGAATATTCTTTTTTTATCTTTTCGTAAATCATTTCATTAATATTCACTCAGCTTTTATGGTAAGAAGTTAGAACACCTCCATTCATATAATTGAAATTTGAAACAACCACGGGTCAACTCTGCCGGTATCATAGTCGGACCTGGAGCTGTCAATGGGTCGGATATATCTGATAGAACTGAACCCATTATGTAATTAATAATATATAATTTATAAACTTATAAACGTCTTCTAGTTTTTCTATTGTTTTTTGTAATTTTTGTTATGCTTTATGTTTGAAAGTATTAATGTTAAGGCCAATGCATAAGAAACTTTATCAACATATAAAACGTTTACTATTTACTGCCATTTTTGTTAAAGATATATTATTCATGGAAAATTGGCAATTATAGATGTCAAATCTAATCGGGTCATATCCAATTATCCCAATTAATTAATAATTGATTTGGTTTTGGGTTTATTATTATTATTATTATTATTATTATTATTATTATTATTATTATTATTATTATTATTATTATTATTATAGAGAGAGAAATGACTTGAAATCATTTGTAAACAGATCTATAAGCATCAAAAGATAGAATATTATACCCCCTATATCAAATGTATCGTATATATACTTTGAAGCTTCCGCTAAGGCAGTGGCAACTCTCAAATGCAAGTTATGGAAGGTTAACAAAGATGGCCCATTATTTTATCATCATCATGACATCATCCAAGCCTTATCCCAACTATCAAAAACCTTTTAATATGGTGTTTTATATGATGAATCCTGTTTCATCGCTCCGTTCTGTTTAATGAATATGGCGCTTTATACCAAACCCCCAAAAATACTGAACCTGAAGGTTCATATGAAACCAGAGATAATGCTCAACTCGAACATCATGGCTCTGGGGGGCTCCTCCTGAGAATGAAATGAAAGAAGACGAGTAAGCACTTACCAAAACTCAAAAGGCCTGAAGCCTTGAACAACGGCAAAACAGAAAACTCTGGCTCAAGTTTAACTGATTACAATACAAACCCTGCTGCAAGTCTCTGAGCTTGTTTATTAGCTCAGGCTTCATGCATGACTAAAAATCTAAAACGATCATATTATATCAGTAATTAAATGCACCACAGTCCAAAAGGGATTTTAGATGGAACATTACAAAATTTGCATCAGGATATTTGATTTCATTTCCATTGGCTTTAATCATGGAGCCCACCATTAAGCAGATACCTATTCTTACATGATGATGGATGGCTATATCTTAATCAGTACTTTACTTACCCAATTTTACATTGCAAAACCACTTATCAATCTGTGCAATGACATGATTAGGCAAAGTCTGAGCTAATTCCTTTCTCAACCTCATTATGCTTAAACTGTAAACAGTTTCTCCAACTACGTAAGTGTGTGCAGCCTTCCCCCAGTTCAACATATATCCTACCCATGCACCAACTGTTCAATTGGCCTCCATCTTAAAAATACAACCGAGACATATAGGCTGCACGGACATATCATGGCTGCAGGCCTGCTTAGAATGAATTAAGATCCATAAGAAACATATCTATTCAAATAAGCTTAACCAAAATTAATAAACTGATTGAGAAAATTAAATTTCTTTTGCCATTTTTATTTTATTAAAGAACTTGTATTGGGTAAGTAGAACACCAGCTATGTCATCTTATAATAATCATTCTTTTTTCATTAATGAAGTTGTTTAGTTAATATGAACAATGTCTTTCTGCATTCATTTATGCAGAATAGAAACAACCAGTAATTTGTTTACATGTTTAAGATATAGATAAACAAGTTTGTCCTCATAGATTCTTGTTTTCCCCTTTAAAAACAAATAAACAAATTTCAAAATGAATTACAGTGCCTGGTATAATGTCCCAAAACAGTGCCTGGTATTCCATTTAAAAGGTCTTGTTCTCTTTAGAAGCTTCTGTTTGGTAGCAAAGTTTTAAATGTCAGTTCAGTAGAAATGTCAGACCATTCATATATATATATATATATATATATATATATTATAACATAATAAATATTAATTTACCTAATATCTGTTAATACTTTTTTAAATTATAAAAGGACATTCTTTTAAATAATAACATCACTGTAGAATGATAAAATGATGCTTTCAAAATGATCATATGTAACTATGCTTCCCATGCTATTATATCGTTTATATTTGATAATAGTTTAGAAGAATGCATCATTTATATATTACTAAAGTTGATTCTGTCTTGGAGCTGTTGCAGACATTAAATAATATCCATCTGAACAGAAACCAGGAAGATAAAAGGATTTGAGCGTGGGATCACAAAAGAAGTTCTCTGTTAAGTCACTCTGTAAGGAAAAGTACCAAGGAATGATAGCAGGTTCCCAAGCTCTGCAGTGTGGTGTACTGTGGCTCCATCAAAAATCTCCTTTTCACTGTGGGTTGCAACAAAGAGGAGATGCCTTACAACAGACGATTTCATGAAATGTAATTTTTGGGATATATTCTGGGACCTTAGATTTGTAATGTAATATTCCTCTGTATGTTTTTATTGCACAGACAGCTCAAGGCGCCGGTTGTGTATTGTCCCTACTGTTTAGATGTACAGCCAGGGCCTTTTTCATGGTAGTCAATGCAATATATATATTGATTAATTATCAAAAAAATATTGATCAAATGTGGGATGGCAGTGGATAATTTGAATTGTATCTTCTGGGGCAGTTGTATGGAATTGGAAGATCATCTCTAGCAGTTTTGCCTCTAAAATATGGACAAGGATGTAATGTTTGTTTGGGGCATAAGGATGCCTTCCAGAAACAATTAAAGAATTTTTGGAGGCATGGCAGATTGGGGGACGGAGTAGAGTGGTAAACTAGCATGGAAGATGGTATCTGCAGCTGTCTTTTGGGCTATTTGCAAATTCCCAGCATTCAGCCCTTGTTGTACATGGGCTTCTTCAATTCTTTCAATTGAACCACTTCTCAAAAAAATATTAAATGTATAACTAGAAATATTTTGTAAAGGAAAATAAGAAAGAATAATCTATAATGATAATCTTGAAAGCAGAATAAGTTTACAAAGAAAAGGATAAAACTAAAGCAAATTATTCGGATAATGTCTATCTACATGTAAATTGAAAGCCTTATATTGTTATAATTAACCAAGTAAAATCTGTTGAAAACAATATAAAAGAAATTGTTTTATATTGACAAAGAAAGAAGTTTATCTACTTAAAACTTAGGAAGTTCTTAGCTGTAATTATTATCTCAATAATACAAGAATATTGGAAAGAGATTAAATGGATAAATAAATAGCAAAACCCTAGAAGGTCTATGGAGTACTATTAGGCCAATCACATAGGCACCGAGTTAGGGGTCTTGAGGAATATTTAAGGTCAAGGGGTAAGGCTACAAAGGACCTCTACCATTTGCATAAAGAAAAGTGACAAAAATTAAAATATGTATACAGGTATATATTATCTTGACTAAACATATTCTAGAAGAGGTTCCGTGGTGTTTGATGTTTGCTGATGACATAGTACTACTTGATAAAATTAACAAAGAAGTAAATGCAAAATTAGGTTTATGGACAAGTGCATTAGAAACAAGAGGTTCTAAAATAAGTACGACTAAAATAGAATATATGCAATGTAAATTTAAATAGGAGGGAAAATGAGGAAACACTTGGTATTGGAAACCAAGAGATAACTCAATGTAACCTCTTTCCATTACCTTGGTTCAACAATTCATAACAAAGAGGAGATTGAGAAGGATGTCGCTCATAGAATTAGAATAGGATGGGCAAAATGGAGTACATCTGGAGCCTTATGTGATAGGTGAATACCACTTCAGCTAAAAGAAAATTTCAATAAAACAATTGTAAGGCCAGCTATATTTTATGGAGCAGAGTGTTGAGCAATTAAGAAGCATGTCCAAAAAATGACTGTGGCAGTTGTATATGCTTAGATGGACGAGTGGTTAGAAAAGATAGGGTCAGAAATGAAGTCATACAAAGGATCCTGGAGTAGCTCCAATAGGTAATAAAATGAGAGAAAGTAGACTGAGGTGGTTTGATCATGTGCATAGAACACCATTGACAGCATCCATTAGAATTGATCTGTTACAAGTAGGAGGGGCTAGAAGAGCGGGGCAGACTGAAAAGGACCGAGTGGGAGTACTATGAAATGATTTAATCACCCATAATTTGATGGTGGATATGGCACCAAACAGAACAGAATGAAGAAACAGGACTCACATAGCCAACCCCATATAGTTGAGACAAGGTTTAGACGATGATGATGATAATGATGTACATATTATCTCCTTAGAGTTGCAGGGATTGATTTCCTTTCATAGATGTAATATGGCACAAGCCCACCCATTGGTCATGTAAAAGTGATCATTGATCTATTATTTCATCACTGATCATCATTACTATTATTGGTATTCTTCCTTCTGTTTTCTTTCTAATTTTCCTTTTTATTTGCATTAACTTATTCTAGATAATATAGGGTAGGTTTCAATTCCTCCTACATAATTTAATCAACTTGATAGATGGTCTTCACATGGACAATAAATCTTGTCTAAGTTTGAAATCTCTATTGCAGAATTGCAACCTATTTTTCTTCTGATAAGCATAGATATCTGAATTGTAAATTTACTCTATCAAGGACTGGGCAGAATTTAATACTGACACACTATAATGACACCAAGAGAGAAACAAATTACTAGGGGCAAAATAATACAAGACAACCACTACATGACACTCGAATGATCTTTAAGTGCACGATAGAACAATGCAAAATGTTAGTGTATCATACCTCAGTCTGGCAAAGCAGTTCCTCTCTCAAGATTGTTCTTAATCTCCAATGTATACTTTCCAAAGGCTCTTTCAATCTTCTTGTTGAAATGCTCATTACGGTCATTGATAGAGTCAATATCCTTCTCTTCATGGAACCTACGCCTTCTACTAAATGCTTTCCGCTTCTCCTCCCTGTCCTGGAGCTCCTTCACCATCTTGTCAATCTTTTCCTCAGAAATCTTTGGTGTCTGCAGCAGATAAAAATATAAGAATGGAAGACCAGTAATTGTAGTCCAAGTTAAGCATCATCAGGAACAATAAGAGTTTCTTCAACCACATACTTTTCCATATTGGAGGCTGGAAGCATCACGGTAGAACTCTGGATCAGCTTCTTTCATTTTATTATATTCTTCAATATCACACTCTATATTCTTTGTCCGCTTTTTGTAGGCATTGTACAGTGTTTTTTGATTAAAAACTGTTCATAGAAGATAATATCAGTCACCTTCAATGTCACACTCCTTGTTTGGACAGGTATAAATGTAGCAAATAATTAAATAAAAAAGAAATAAAACCAAATCATCATAAATAAATCAGTTCCTGTGTTAGTTACAGGTGTCTAATTCATGCATAAAGTATCAATTGAAAATACAGACATGACGAATATTTTCTTTTCTTTTCTTTTCTTTTTTATAGCAAGGAAATTTTATTAACACAAAAAATGAGCTTACAACAAATAAGCCCAAACGAACTGTTCCCTGGAAACCCCTTGTTTGTTTGACTAGAGAGTTATGCAATGCATTTGCAAATCTATTAATCCATTTGAAGATAGCCTCTATTTCTCTTGCTATCCTCCAGGTTTCCTACATGGCCTGTCTATGCACCCAAGGACCCAAACAATTATTCATTGTCCATCCCACAACCAACATTGAGTCCCCTTCAACCTCATTTTTCTTAGATTGAGCTGCTTAGCTAGTTGTAAGCCTTGAAGGGAGCCACTATAGTGCCCATCCCATCCTTGAAAGCTCCCCCTACTGCACTTCCATACCTTTTGTTTTATTTCTCTACAGCCCTTTCTATTTTCTTGCTAATTACTGCTTCTTTGTAAAAGTAATAAATCGAATGCAAAATCCAAATTATGCACAGAAAGATAGGGAACTCTTGTGAAGAAAAAAACAGTGTTGCAAGTAATTAGGAAATAAAGTGACTTGAGAAATAAGCATACCATCCCAACCAAATGGAGCAGGATCCTTTTCCCATTTCTTATATTTTGCCTCTGCCGTCTCTTCTGTATCAAACATATATGCCTTTGACATATCCAAACCATTTGCATCAAGTAGTTTTCCAATTTTCTTCTTCCTTTCTTCAAGCCATTTTTGTTTAGAAATGCCCCTTGACTCCTGTGGAGCTTCCATTCTTTTCTTTTCCGCAACCATGGCAGTTTGGTTAGCTTTCCTGGCTTCATTCTGCAAAATAGGTGCCAAAATGGAAATCAGAACAAAATGAAAATCATGGAATTTCCTTCGAAATTTCCTATTAAAAATAGCTGGGATGATGATACTATTTCAAACATGGAAGAAGGCTTACCATCTTGAGCCTTAAATCAAACAACTTTTTCTGCCTCCCTGTGAGTTTTGTAAAGTCTGGTTCCACATTCTCCTCTACAGGATGATCATCATCCCCATCACCCTGTTTTTCAAGATCAGATCTGTCACCATAAGGATCCTCATCCTGATCAGGGGAATCTGAATGTGATGGGCCACTAGCATCCACACCACCACTAGTTTCTTTAACTTCTGAAATATTAGGGTGCACCAATGAAGTATATATGAATATGTGACCACATCACCGCACAGATTGTAGTATGAGAATATGAAATTTTTAAATAAGGTAGACCTGCTTATCTTGACACACAATGCAGGTTATATCAATTGACATAAATAAAAACAAAGTTTGCAAGCATATTCTACTTATGAAAGCTGAAATCTACCTGGTCAATGTTAAGATAAAAGCCAAATAGACTCATAACAAGATCTTTCAGAAATATCTCTGATTTCTTGGATACCTTGCATCATTCCATGACTACCAGACTATGACAATATCTCAATTTATCGACAGTACTGTTTCCTTTCTTCTTTTCCTACTTTTGGCAATGGCTTGCAATAGTGCTTAAGGTTGAATAGATGAATTTATTAATAGAATCACTTTTTCTTATAGATCAGAAGGAAAAAACAAAGATAGTACTTCCAACTTTCCTGAGACTTTCCCCCAGAAAAAAAAAACAAGAAAAGAAATGTGAAATCCCAAAGAATTTCTCTTGGCAAAAAATTCATACAAGGATGAGATCTATCACGATCTAAAAGGATCAGATCATGGTTCATCATTCTCAACATACTTTTCTTTTACAAATAACCAATATTTCTTTTTTGATCGATAATAAGTTAATAACCAATATTTTATAGAAGATACAAAGATCAACAAAGATGACATCCTTACTATCCATCAAAAAGAAAAGAAGGCACTCTTACTAAAACTATAGCAATTAGCAGAATTTATTGTTCTATGTAAAAAAGTCATACTTCATACAACCTCCATATCTAAAGAAAATTCTTGACATCAAATTTCACAATTCGGAAGCCTATGTCTATAAAACCTGTAAAATAGAATACAATAATTTTGAGATAGCTTCCTAAATAGAGTGGCTTAATGATTTCCAAACCAAAAACAACCAAGTCTCTAACCCAACAAGGTTCATCTTGAGTGTAAGATAAAGAGATTATCTATAGAGAAACAAGAAGCAATTCAACTTTAATCAAATCTAGAACAATGTTATTAGCAACTTAAAAAATCACGAAGTAACAAGAAGTAAAAGAAATAACCTGATCCTTCTTGCTTGCTCCGTTCCTTGGCTTCAGCTATTCTTCTGAAGCAATACTCGACGCATTCATGATATGGGTTGGAAGCATTTATGCAATCGGGGTGCACTCTCCTTTCCTCAAACATTCCTACTTATTTCAATTCCACCAATTACAGCACCCAAATTTTCTTTACTCTTTACTATAGACGAAAAAATCAATTTTAAGAGTTATTATCTGACACAAAAAGTTCCACATTAACCTATAACATAAAACAATAACGGGGAAAATTTTGTTCCCCTTTCTATCCATGCATTCAGTGTCTATCCTCAATAAAAAAAAGCATAAGTATCGATGTCGATGAGCAGACCACCGATCAATAAAGAACGAAGAGTATAATATAAATAACAGGAAACTATAAATCAATAAAGATGGAAGAAATATAAGATTAAAGAAAAAAACAGCATCTACTATTACAGAAAACTAGGAAGTGATGACAGAACTGAACCCAAATCTTAGAACATTCAGCAAGTATCATAGAAATTAGGGTATTCAATTGTTTTCTGTAAAAGAAAGCAAGAGGCTGTAAGGGAAAGTGGACGAACCTGCAGGCCCTGATGCTGATGCTGATAAACAGAGGAAAGAAGGGAACCGAGAAGGAGATGATGGTGCTTTTGTTGCGAAATGCTGCGTTCACAGCGGCTGTGCAACTTCAAATTATACTACAAAATAATAATCTTACACGTGGGCTCCACTTCGGCTAGCAGATTAGGCAGGAGGCTAGCGATACAATAGGGGTGAGAAAAAAACCGAAAAATCGAATCAGACCGAAAAAATTGACCGAAATCGAATTAAAAAATTGGTTAATCAATTGGTCGGTTAAGAGTTTTTAAAAAACTGAAGGTATCAGTTCGGTTTTGGTTAATCAATGTAGAAAACCAGCAATTAATTAAATCGACCGGTATAATTATACATATATTTTTATATATTTTATATATATTTATGTATATTATATGTATTTTATATTTTTTTATACATTATAAATTAATAAATATGCATTATATATATATTTATAATTTTTTATTATATATATTCTTATAATATATATTAAAAATTAAAAAACCAAAAAACCGATTAACCGAACTGAAGGTTAACTGAACCGATCAACCGATTAATCGACTAGTTTCGGTTTGGTTCCGGTTATCGGTTTTCCAAAAATCGGTAATACCGGTTTGGTTCTAAAAAATACCCCACGATTTGGTTAACCGAACCGTGAGCACCCCTAGAGACGGTTGTGTCGCGTCTTGGAAACAAGTAGTTTAATGTATAAAAATAAAAGGGAAAATTTCCTGAACAGTAACTAAACTTTGGGAGTTGTGTCAAGTCAGTCCCCAATCTTTTAAACGTGTCTCTATTATCCTGAATCCTGAACTTTCAATTTGTGTCTAACAAGTTTTTATCGTAAGTTTATCGTTAACGACCAAGTGAAATGATTGAATTACCCTTCATATTCTGAGTAAGAGAGATTTTTAGAAAAAGACAGAACTACCCTCATAAAAAAGGGTTTATGCATCAAAGAGGTGCAATATAGGGATGCAAATGGATCGAATCGGATTTGAATCAGGTATATCTGAATCTAATTCGACATTGTTCATGTCAGATCTGATCTAATCGAATTCGATATGCCCTGATTTGAATTCGAATCCTATCAGTAAGTCCAATCTTCGAATCTAATCCAATCCAACTTGTTTTCTTTAAAAATTAATAAATTATTAAAATAAAAATAAAATATATTAATTTAAATAATGAAAAGACAAAAATACAAGTATTTTTTTAATTATTTACATCATACATATACATGTTTTTATAAAAAAATAATATAACAAATTGATAAAAATATAGTACAAATAATATATTTATAAATAAATAAATAAATAACACACACATATATATTTGTATTATATATTTATATTTATAAATATATAACATATATCGGATTGGATGGGGGTGATCCGAATCCAGTCCAATTTCTGATCGAATCCTATTATTTGATCTAATCGAATCCAAAGATCCAAAAAGGGTGATCCGAATTTGGCCAAATAGAAATGCTTGGATACGCTATGCAACTAATCTATTCTAATTATTATATCATTTTTCTATTTTAATATTTATAAATTTTAACATTAACAAAAATGTCAACTAAAAAATTAATTCTCAAATGTTTAGTAAACAATATTTTCATTTTTGTAAACAATAAATATGTTATTACAAAATATAAATTAAAATGTTAATTAATAATTTATAAAAATATATAACCTTAACTTAAAATTTATCAAATCTATTATAATTTCGAAGATAGATATCATATGAAAAGTCATAAATTTTAATAACTAAAATAATTATTCCATTAATAATATTTTATTTTTTTAATTTTAAAATAAAAAATATATTTTTTTATATAAACATAGATTAGTGGATTTGATATATTCAATTTATGTTATATTTTCAAATATTTTGTAAATAATAATTTTACTTTTGTAAATAAGAAATAAATTGTTATTTAATGCAAATTAAAATATTAATTAATAATTTATAAAAAAATTAAGATACATATCATGTGCAAATTTATAAATTTTAAGTATTAAAATAATTATTTTATTATTAATATTTTTAATTTTCTTGAAATTAAAAATCATTTTTTGATATAAATATATATTTGATAAATTATTCATTTCATTAATTTATAAAATACTAATTTTAAATATTATTCTTTTTAATTTGTAATTGGAGTTGTTGAAAATGAGTGTATGTTGCTTGGTTGGATTTCATGTAGATATTAAAATTAATAAAAGTAAATTTATTTCATTTATCATTGTCAAATAAAACTTGGCTCAATGGTTAAAAGTTCATATGCGGTCTAGCGCTAGGCGACCTGTGTACCTAGGTTTGAATCATGTTGGAAGCTCCTTTATAGTGAATAGCATTGTCAATAATGTCTCAGATACCATGCAATACTCACTGATACAATAATGTCTCGGATCGATACGTACGACTAGTAGGATACACCCCCAATCGTGACATATCCCATGCTAGTGTGGTCCGATACCAATACGATTTGCCTTGTATTGGGTATATCGTATTGATATTTTAATCCTTGGTTCACTCAAAATGCTAGCTTTATTCCAATGTTGCAGTGGGCGTTGCCGGTATGATTGTTCAAGTAAATGCCATCAGAGACCACTTATCGATAGTTTGAAATCATCACCGATGATTACCAGAGAAGACAATGATCCCTTGCCATCATCGGAGAAGAGGGTAAAAAAGCTTTCTTTTTTAACCATAAATTTTTGCCCCATTGACTTGTTATATGATTATGATTTCTTTGTTGGATTTTTTGTTTATAAATTGTATTTTTCAGACCAAACTCTTTTTTTGTCCATTTGTAAGACATACAAATATCTCATCATTTTTTAGTCTTCTTCAATCTTGTTAAATGGATAGATGTAGGTTACTTTGATTTTCATAGTTTTTTTTTGTCACCTCCTTAGACCTTGATGGTGTACGATCTAGAAGTTCCCTGTTGGTTGATGATTCAGATGCCGAGCTGGAGGATTTCCATTGATGGTGTGCAATTTGGAAGCTCCCTGCTGGCTGATGACTCAGATGCTGAGTTGGAGGATTTCCTGCTGGAAGGTGACTCAGAGGCCAAGTTGATTGGGTCGAGCTAGGAGGTTGTTCGGGTGTCGAACTAAGTAGATCAGCGAGCTGTGTAGTTCTCTAGAGAGACCTGTAGGGAAACAATATTAGAGTGCCCGAGGTGGGCACTCCAATGTCTAAGTCAGCAAATTGAAGATACACACACGGAGGTCGGCGAGCACATCTCGCAGGTCGCCATGTGGACCTCAGTCAAGTCGACAAGTCCTCAAGGGAGATCGCTCCTCGTGCCGAGGTCACTTCGACTGGTACTGACAAAGTACCACAGGTCGGCAAGTCCTCAAGGGAGGTCACTCCTCGTGCCGAGGTCACTTGGATCGGTAATGATGAGGTACCACAGGTCGGCCCTGGACAAGGTGTTCCTAGTAGCCTTACCAAGGTGCCCGAGTTGTAAATGAGGTCGCCAACTAAGACTCCAATAGGTCGGTGGAGGTAGGTCGCTAGCTACGATTCCATCATTTCAGCTAAGTCATGTCGTCGCCTAAGTTGATAGATGTAGGTTACTTTGATTTTCATAGTTTTTTTTTTTGTCACCTCCTTACACCTTGATGGTGCACGATCTAGAAGTTCCCTGTTGGCTGATGATTCAGATGTCGAGCTAGAGGATTTCCATTGATGGTGTGCAATTCAGAAGCTCCCTACAGACTGATGACTCAAATGTTGAGTTGGAGGATTTCCTGCTGGAAGGTGACTCAGAGGCCAAGTTGATTGGGTCGAGCTAGGAGGTTGTTCGGGTGTCGAGGTAAGTAGATCAGCGAGCTGTGTAGTTCTCTAGAGAGACCTGTAGGGAAACAATATTAGAGTGCCCAAGGTGGGCACTCCAATGTCTAAGTCAGCAAATTGGAGATACACACGGAGGTCGGCGAGCACATCTCGCAGGTCGCCACGTGGACCTCAGTCAAGTCGACAAGTCCTCAAGGAAGATCACTCCTCGTGCCAAGGTCACTTCGACTGGTACTGACAAAGTACCACAAGTCGGCAAGTCCTCAAGGGAGGTCACTCCTCGTGCCGAGGTCACTTGGATCGGTAATGATGAGGTACCATAGGTCGGCCTTGGACAAGGTGTTCCTAGTAGCCTTACCAAGGTGCTCGAGTTGTAAATGAGGTCGCCAACTAGAACTCCAATAGGTCGGTGGAGGTAGGTCACTAGCTACGATTCCATCATTTCAGCTAAGACAAGTCGTCGCCTATGTGGTGTCGGAGTGCCATCCATCTGTTCTAAGATGCCACATGTCACGGTGTCAATGGAGGACGAAATCTGCCCTCATCAATTTCCCCCGCTCCCAAGCTGAGGTCAATTCGGCGAAGGGAGTAGCTCGTTGTGGTTTTTGGTCCAGAATGACTGGTTCGATGAGCTCGTAGGCATCGATCCAGTTCGCTCCCCAAGTTGAAAGTCTTAAGGAGTAAATGCAACCTTACACAGGACTTCGTAGTCTTGATTATCTGGGCACAAGAGCAAACTCATTTACTCGATGAGAGGTAGAGCAGGCACCCCAAGGACATCTACCTTACTTGGGATGCAACCTTAAGGCGTTTTGCAATTCGGCTAAATACCTCAAAAGCGAAGTTTGTCATGCCATCCTCAAGAGGGGCTTCCAACTGTGTGACTGCCTTGTTAGGTCACTCCACTTACATAGACTACAAGGCAATGTCCCTTACGCCGGTCCTCGAAGGAGCATTTAACAAGGTCAATGTGGAGCCTGAAACCGAGGTGGAGGACGACTATGAAGAGATCAGCCAAGTTTGCATGTCTGCCACGGTGCTGAAAGCGAACTAGTCTTCCTTTACTCCGCTTCTCTTTTTTCTCTTCTTTATCTTTTCCAAGGTCGGCAATTAGATGCCGACGTCCTTTGAGACCGATTTAAGCATAGTGGTGGTAGTGCTACCGAGCTAGATAAATGGGAGAATGACTTGCTTAGATCAGTCTACCTGTTGTCGTCATGTTTCGAGGTCGGCTTAAGGGGCCTTAGCTAAAAA